CTGTCTCCAGAGTCAAAACTAAACAAGGAGAAGCAGCATTCAGTTATTATGATCCGTATATTTGGAACAAAATCCCAGATAACTGCAGGTCTGCTGAAACTGTCAGTTCTTTTAAATTAAGACTGAAGACTTTTCTTTTTACCATTGCTTTTAATTAAATATTTAAGATTTTTCTTTTTATTGATAACTTACAGTGCACTCTAACTTTTACTGTCCTGTTTTCTTTTTCTTTGTTTTTAGCTTTTTATCATTGCTTTTATCCATTTAACTCTTTTAACCCTGTAACTTTTATTATATTTTATGTTGCTTTTAAACTTTTTTATATTTCCCTGTTGCTTTTATCTTTTATATAAAGCACTTTGAATTACCTTGTTGTTAAAATGTGCTATACAAATAAACTTGCCTTGCCTTATTAACAAATAAATAAAGACAGCAGGATGCACAAAACACGGGTATTAAATCTGGGAAAAGGGAGCAGACAGGGCTATAAAATTAAATAAATACATGAATAAAAGTGTGTTTAATCAGTTGAAAGCAAAAGCATAAAAGTAGGTTTTGAGCTGCTTCTTAATTATCTTTAGAAATAGCTTCTCTTCTTTTTAAAGGAAGTCTGTTCCAATGCATTGGTGCATAGAAACAGAACGCTGGTTCAGCAAACTTTTTAATGTTCATTCTTTGTACATTACAGTAGTATTGAATTTCCATAAAGCTGGAGGATGCATAACAGACAAATTACAGGACACTTTTAATGCAAGTCAAAAGCAATGACCCTCTCAGCCTGGTGAATATCTTTTCACACCTCCAGTTGTAACACAGGCTTTCTGTTGTAATCTATTTATCTAGACAACATGCTGCACCATCACTCAGCCAGCAGGTGGCAGTGCAGGCTGTTCAAAGAGTAAATGTAGATTTGAGTTCATGAATGGTAAAAATCTGAAGCTGCCAAACAAAAATGAACAGGTCTGCAAGTAAAATAGGAAGTATTAGAAATAATATCTATGTTTTACTGAGCAACAGAGTTAAATCAGATAAAGAAAAAATAATTCCTGATCAGTTTGCTCTTTCTGTCCAGAAGATGGTGCAACAGGACAGCAGTTTCTGTCAAGTCAAACGCGTCCTAATCTGCCCCACATACTGTACCTGTAGGTGAGGGATGAGCTGACATTTGGGCTCAAACATCTGACATTTACAGACATGATTATAGAAAGGTGTCTGTTGTTCTTTTGCAAACTTTGGGGAGATTTAATGAAAATGTATGCAAGTAAAGATAAACATTTGTCAACAGAGATGTCATCGTCATTAACATTGATCCATGACTGACCCACATGGGCAGAAACGCACACAAACAAGGGCCCGAGAAGGTTTGGATGGACATATTTAATATCCTCACACCAAAATAAGCAACACACCTTCATACCTAAATGACATTTCCCATATCAGTCCTGTGACAGTTGTGAAGGATCTCAAGTAACAAGTGGTAAACCTGATGAAACAATGGTAGTTTGGTTAAGTTTAACTTTATTCAACTTAAAAGAGGTCCGCTTTGACTGACTGAGGATTTGAACCTTAGTCTTCTGAGTAAAAGCCTGCATAATCGTATGGCTTTTGGGCGAGGACGGGCTGAAACAACTAAACCTGCAATAACAGATTTTTAGTTTTGGCCACTTAGGAGCAACGGAAACAAGAAACAAACCTGACATATTCTCACCTTTTAAGTTGACATGTTGAACTTATTTCCACCTGCAGCGGCTACAGAGCAGCATGATGGTTCATGTGGAGTCGTGTTTGCATCACATGATGAATGTGATTCCAATATTTTCTCTCTGTTAACTCTGACTTTGGTCTCCACCAGCTCCTGAGGGAAATATGGGGAGGCTTTAGGGCGGGGCTACAAGGTGATTGACAAGTTGCTACCATGGCGACCGGTCAATCAGGATAGAGGCGACTCGTTGTTGAAAACGCTTATTAGGAGCTTCTGCTAGCCAAAATTAGCAGCTAATGTCACAGGTAACGCATTCACCTTGCTAACCAAGCAAACTAGCTCCACCCTCCCGTTTCTTTGTAGGTTCATCACTACCAGAGAAACTTTTAATGATGTAATATGAAACATAATTATTATGAAAAATAAATTACATTCACTTTAACAAAATAACTACATTAATATTTTACACAAATTTACAAACATAATTCATATGATAATTTTCCTGAAGGTTAAGGTTAGATTTAAGGCACATAAGTTACTTAGTTAAGGTTAGTTAGTGAGATTAAAGGAAACAGTCCTGACTCTTTGTCAGATCGAAGTCACTTAACACCTAGACATCCTCTCTATTTATTTTCCAACGAAATAATAAACAGATACAGGATTTAGCCAGGGTTTCATTTAATTCCTGGCAGTGTGGAGAAGTCTTTAAAACAGCTTGTAGATTTTTACGCTGGGAAATGAATTGGTAATGCTTCCTTTTTACGAGCCCCATAAATTGTTAACAATTATCGAGGAAGTTTCTTGGAAAGAACTTTGTGATCTGGTGTTAATTCTATGAAAAACAAAGACACAGTTCTGAGGCAGTCATGTTTATAAGTTGATTTCCAGATGAGTTTCTTCAAAGAGCAGCTTCATTTAAATAAAACATACAGGAAATTAACAGTTTGACCTCAGTTTATTTTTAAAACAAAAAACTTTTTAGGCGTTTTAACAAAGCAGCAGTGCATTTGTAATCTTTTTTGAATTAATGTTATTTTGTCTGGTGACACTGTTCCTTTGACCTCTGACCTCTTGGCTGCCTCTGTGAATGAAACATAAAAATCATGCCTGTTTCACAATAACTCTTCTGTCCATTGTTATCTTATCATCGTCACACACTCCATTGTCTTTCTTATCTGTATTGTGTTTCTTATCAGTGACCTGGATCCCAGATTAAATGACAGCGTCTCCTCATGCTGTCATTTCTGCGAGTGTTTATAAATGTTGTGACAGTGGCACAAGGCAATAGTAACCAAGTACATTTACTGTACAAGTACTGTACTTAAGTACAATGGTTTTGAGGTACTTGTACTTTACTTGATTGCTCATCTCAGAGGGAAATATTGCAAATGTTACCTCACAAGATTTATCTGACATGTTTAGTTACTTTACAAATTAAGATTTTTACACAGAAAACATATAAAAAGCTTAAAAAATGTTATGTTTTGTTATAAATAATCTCACTGACAGTTTAGACAAGTACAGCTGAAACTATTGATCAAGTAATTTCTCCTGTAGAAACATCTGATGGTTCAGCTCCTCTCATGTGAAGATTTTCTGCTTTGCCTCTGAATGATTGTAATAACTGTAATGTTTCTTAATAACATTGAGGTTTGGACTCAACACGCGTTGTGAAGGTTTCACTTTGGGCTCTGTTTAACTGTGACGGCTGAGTCTTTACAAACGAAACAATCACTCAATTTACTAGAGAAAAAATTCAGCACATTAATCCAGAATAAAAATACCGTAAAACTTCCATTAATAGCCCGGGCTTACTGAACTTTATTTAAACAGCAACATCCCACTGAGGCTGGAAATGGGAGACCTGATCACAATGACTACAAATAACAAAATCAGGCGACAGATAAACTTATCCAACAAGCACACAACAATAATTTTAAGTAGAAATATATCCAGCTGTTCCGGTTGAAAATGTTTCAGCAACTCGAAACAACAAAATTCAGATTTTGGTTCAGAAATATTTAATGTGACAATAACTGTTTGAGAAAAAGGTAAACTTTTACAACTTGGAGAAACAAAATAAACAAACAAAATAAAATATGTGTTTTGATGGATAAAAAATCTTTTAAATATCTGGATTAGTGACTCTCACTTATTGCATCTAATGAATGTATAGAAGTTCTCTTTCTTTAAAGAGGTGGTATTATGATTTTTGGCTTTTCCCTCTCCTTTATTGAGTTATAAACCTTTTTTGTCAGTGAGTGGACATAAAGTTGTTCCTGTGATGTAGAGACAGAGCTCAGCTAAAACTTTATGGATGAAAGATCCTTTTGTTACAGATTAATAACTCACCACTCTGAAACTCTCGCTCCAGTCCATGTTGCCAAGCTGGTCGGCAACATGTACAGCTGAACCTGAGCTGTTTACCGGCTTCTCGCTGACCCGCCCTTCTCTGCTTCTGATTGGCTAGTAGTCCTTAACTAGGAACTGCGCATGTGCAGCTCCCATTTAGAGACACGATGTGGCTAAAACAAAGCCTTCAACAAAAAGAGGAGCTGCAGTAATGTGCAGTATGACAAAAAATGTGGTGTTTTTTTAAAAATGAAACTATGTAAACCTGTTCTGGTACAACCTCTATATAAGATTTTGAACCTGAAAATGAGCATAATACCACCTCTTTAAGAAGGGAAAGAACAAGGATATGGCTTTATGGTGTTACTTTGTTGAATTGTAAATATTAAATTAAGCCTTTTAACAAATCACAGGATATTTTTATGGAGTAAATCCACCACAGAAGGACAGACTTCTTAAATCTCACTTGGTTCATGTGAAAGTCACCGAGTGGGATTCTCCAAACACAGAAGAGCATCTAAATGAAATAATATAACTTCAAAAACAACAAACGATGACTCAGCAATCCGGTGTCTTTAGTATTTGTTCTGTGTAATTGTGCAATTGCTTTAGTGTAAATTCGGTATGAATCACCATGTTTCTATGAAATCACACTTCTTCTTCAGTAAATATCATATAAATAATATAAATATCAACAATGCGTCACAATTATCTACGTGTCAACTTCCCCGATATAAGAAACTTTGTTGCGCTTAAAGAAACACCAACAACTGGTCTCTGTGAACTTCTAGAAAGAGAAAGCAGAACACCGGATCCTGGTTTCTGATCACTGTCCACACAGTTCAGCTGTAATGATTGGTCTACATGGCTGAAGTGAAAGTCAAATCTTTAACCCAGACTCTTAAAGCTGAACTGGATTATTATTGTTTCTAACTCACAGTGGTGGATGAAGTATTCAGATCCTTTACATTACAAAAGTACTGATACCATAGTGTCAAAATACCCTGTTACAAATAAAATCCCTGAATTGCAAATGTAAGTAAACTGTACCGTTTACCTGTGGGAGGAGCTCAGAGTTCATTGTTTTTATTAAATTAACTTTTTACTTTTATTTTGGGGATTAAAACGTTGTCTTCTCTCGCGCTCTTCAGCAGGAGGAAGTTAAACTACCTGGTAAGTTCAGAAAATGTATCTGTTACTTGATTCCAGCTACTGTTACTGTGAACAAGTTAGCATAGCATAGCATAACCCTGATTGATCAGAAATCCGTTTAGAAAACAAACATTTTAAAAGTTGATGTCTTGCTGACAGACCTGACAAAGCATGAATGTATATGTTTAACAAATCGACGTCATGTTTTATTTATTTCGGCATCGTTTTGATTCGCTTAGTGCTATTTACTTTCATACTGATGTAGTAATCGCGGGTTGTGTTTATTCACATCACGAATTGTGTGCGAACACTCTGCGTTAGTCCAGCTATAAAACTCGAGTGAAAAAAACAGCAACATTAAGATTAAATTATTTAGTTAGAAACAATCTGCAACTTTTTTTTATTGTTCCCAAAACTAAGAAATTGGCAGACGAGCCTTCAAATATAAAGCTCCTTCACTGGTACAACCTCCCTATTAACAATAGATCAATAAATTCATAATGCCTCTTTATTAATTCATTACTTCTTCTCAAAACACCATGCAGCTGCTTGTATATGTTTTGTGCTGGACCCCCTTGAAAACAAGTGGTATCCATGAATAAACTTACATTATAAATGACGGTGTATCAATATATTGATAAGGACAGCAGCCAGTATATGATCCAAATACTTGCAGTGCTATTCTTCTTCTCTTATTTCTAAAAAGACTCTGGTGGAGAAGAAGCTACTGAAGCTTGAAGAGATGCTCATTGATTATACGTCTGTATGTATCTTCTTTGTCTTGCAGATCCTCAGACACGTTTCAGAATCTGCTGATGTGGAACGACGAGCTCACGACTCTGCTGTCCACAAGAGAAACCGCTCAGCTCGTAATGTGGCTGTGGATCATTGTGTAATTGTTTATACTTCAAACCTTTTTTTAGCCTAAATGACTCACAGCAACCTGTTTGTGGGTTCATTCAAACTGAATGACTTAATGAAAGACGATCTGGATGAATCATGTTGAAATAAAACACAAGACACCTCAGAGCACGTTACAGCCACGTTGTTGTTTTTATACATACACGTCAAACTAAAACTTCACACTGGATTTTACAAGAAATAACTCAAAAACATTCAAATATTTTACAAAAGTTTACAACAGGAAGAGAAAACGTGAAGTTAGAATCATTCTGATTTCAATAAAAGGCTTCTGAACGTCTCTTTTTTAAAAACTTTTAGAGATTTTAAGTGCTGATCTGTCACACACAGACATTCAAACAATCAATGCTTCTTTTGTTTTTTGGTCCATTTCCATTGCTGCAGCTGTACATATGTTTTTACTTTTCAAACCACATTACCATTTATTTTTATCTCAAGGTCCACTTATTAACCTTTTTTTGCCAGATCTTTTGACCAGATCCCATATCTTCCTCAGTAGATGTGGTTTTCTCAGTTGTCATGGACACAGATCAGTTATCATCACTATTGAGAGCCTAAGCCCCTCCCCTTACACTGGACCTATGTATGGTAGTTAACGGAGAGAGACAACCAATGTTTTGATCCGGTTTGAATCCTGAATTAAACACATGATGTTCGTCAATTTAAAATATAGTTTAAGTCAAGTAAGTTTGTTATTGTTTGTAAAACTGTTTCAGTATCAGTAAAATATCAGACAGTGAAAATACTTAATTACAAACCCAAAAGTCGCATATGTGATGTCATTACTGTTTCTCTTAGTGACTGAAGCTACTGTCACTAAAGCTGATGTCACTAAAGCTAATGTCAATGAAGCTAAGGTCACAGATGGTAATGTGACTTAAGCTAACGTCACTGAGGCTAAGGCCACTGAAGAAAACGTCACTGAATATACGGTCACTGATGGTAAAGTGACTGAAGCAATCATTACAGAAGCTGACATCACTAAAGGTCACTGAAGACAAGGTCACTGATGGTAACGTCATCCATCCATCCATCGTCAACCGCTTATCCTGCGTACAGGGTCTTGGGGGGCTTGAGCCAATCCCAACTGACATCGGGCACAAGGCGGAGTACACCCTGGACAGGTCGCCAGTCCATCGCTGGGCCACACATCGACAAACAACCACTTACGCTCACGCCTAAGGACAATTTAGGGTAACCAATCAACCTAGCCTGCATGTCTTTGGATGGTGGGAGGAAGCCGGAGCACCCGGAGAGAACCCACGCAGACACGGGGAGAACATGCAAACTCCACACAGAAAGGCCGGGGCAACCGGGGTTCAAACCCACGACCTTCTTGCTACAGTGGCGACAGTGCTAACCACCGCCCCCCCGCCCCAGATGGTAAAGTGACAGAAGCAAACATTACAGAAGCTGACTTCCCTAAAGCCAAGGTCACTGAAGCTAACGTCACTGAAGCTAAGGTGACTGAAGCAAACATTACAGAGGCTGAAGTCACTAAAGCTAAGTTCACTAATGGTAACGTGACTGAAGCTAATGTCACTGAAGCTAACGTTGTTACTGAAGCTGACGTCCCTGAAGCTTATGTGACTGAAGCTAACGTGAAAGAGCTTCCATGTTCAGATGATGTGGTGAAAGGACCAGGAGTCGTTGGATTGAATACATCAGGTGAGATACATCTGTGCATGAAACATAGCTAAGTTACCTAGCTAGTAGCAAGCGAGCAATGAACGTTAGCTTAGCATTACAGCGCTAACATGTTGGTGACGTATAATGTTCGAGACGAGAGATGTAGTTCACCGAGCCGTCTCACACAAAACTAAATGTTACTTCACACCACCTGCATCATTCTTGACTTAAATGATCTTTTAAACTGACAATCATCAATTCCAACAGGACCAAAAAAATTGTTGTCTCTCGCCGTTGTCTACCGTACAGATTTTTTCCGAAATAAGTGCCAATGGGTGGAAGCGGAAGGGAGGGACTTGGGCTTTCTGTCATATGTTCGGTCACATGTGTTACTTAGCAGAACTCCATCCACTGATGAAGACCGTGGGATGCGGCTGAAAGCTATAGGTGGACCTGGAGTAAAGTTTTTTTATTCACACTCACATGAGATTTGTGTAAAAGGCTCATGCAATTCTTGAGTCTCACAGGATGAAGACAATGTTCGTGCAACACGTTCATGAAGGATAATCATTTTAGTAGAATCTTTAGACTCGTGCAGGTTTAAAACTTTAAAGTTTTAAATTTTTTAACAAAAACCCCCAAAAAGAAACAAAAAACAAAACACTGAGAATGTGTTGAAAACCTTTCTGGGCTGCAGCCCTATTTATTACCCCATTTACACTCAGTCACTTTGTATCTAAAAATACCAAAGAGTAGAAATACTCTGTTACAAGCAAAAGTATAGTATAGTGGAGTCGAAAGTAGCAGAAAATGGAATTTTTAGATGACTTTAAAATTGGACTTAAGTTATCACATTCGACTTAAGTAGAAATGTGTGTGGGGGGGGGGCTCTACTGCTGTGGCTTTAATGGAGATTTAAGGGTGTTGATGCCACCTTCTGGACCACAGTGTGTCCGACGAGGTTTAAATTAAATCCTGATGTGATGCTTGAAATGACGAGTGTAAACGGGGCCCTAATGTAAGTACGAACATCATAAAAAATTATTTCAGCGAAGACATTTACACAACAGTCTACACAATAGGAAAATAGGATTGTCACAGTAGCCTGTATTTACAACAATATGTACACTCATGTATTGTACACACACACACACACACACACACACAGCCACAGAGCCCCTGACTCCTTTTCTCTATTTGCTTTGGAGAGTTTTTAAAATGCCCCCAAAATGCATTTTCAGATCATAAATTGTGTATTTGAGTTCCCCAAAACTACAGTATCTCTGAACTCTCTCTTTAACCAATCACTCACATTTAGGTTATTCTATGTGATCTACTTTAACTCATTAAATTTACATTTAACATGTAAATTTTATTTTTTTTTTTACATTTAACAACAACATGATATTAATACATTTATGGTGTTGGTATTTTCATGGGATTTGTTGATAAGTGTTAAATATAGATATTTATACACTACCGGTCAAAAGTTTTAGAACAGACTCATTTTTCTAGTTTTAATTAATATCTAAGTATTTCAAGTCCAGTGAAAAACCTTAAATGGTACAAAAGTAAGCAGCAAACTGCCAAAGTTGAAAACATTTTTTACGTCAATCTAAAATTAACAATTAAATTAAAAAGTTTTGTTCATTATTTCACTGTAGGTTCAACTGATGATCGACTGCTCTGTCTTCTTTCAGTAATATTATATAATATATAGAACATTGTACAAATAAAGCTCCTGTTCCAAGGTGTTAACTGTAAAAAAGTCCTTCCACTGCTGCAGAACAACCAAAGAAGCTAAAGACAAAGTTTAGATCAGCAAAACTGAGAATAATGTAAATTTCAGAGACTTATAATTTTCATCAAAGGGATCAAGTGATGATAACAATTTCAAGTTAATCTGCAGCAGTGCAAGTAAATAAAACACATTTCAACAGTAAATACCTTGGAACACCCTCAAAAGCTTTATTTGTACAATATTATATATAATATCAATGAAGTAAGACAGAGCAGCTGGTCATCGGTTGATCCTACAGTGAAATAATGAACAAAACATTTAATTGTTAAATTTTAGATCTGAAAATGTCTGATATGGTGGAGTAAATGTTTTTAATTTTAATTTTGGCAGCCATTGATACCATTTAAAGTTTTTCACTGGACTTAAAACTACTTATATTTCAATAAGTAAAGTAAAATAAAATGAGGTTATTCTAAAACATTTTACCGGCACTGTGTAAATAGATATTGTATCCTTTAAGAAAACGCTAAAAAGTTAAAGGACCTTTTCACTGGTTGACTTTCAGCAGCTGAACGTGAGCTTGTTTAGTTCAACTTTTTAATCCTGTTTGTCTTCTGATTTCTGTTTGCGGGATCGAGTCTGTGACAAAACTCACACAGACGCTGCAGCTTTCACACACACTCGCAAAAACACATTAGCTGTGGACACACTCACACATGCGCGCACACACACACACACACACACACACACACACACACACTACGCTCAACAGCATTTGGTAGAACATTTGGTAACACAATGCTGTAAATCGGGTCATATTTCAAAATAAAAGCTGCTGACTGCTCACAATGCTTGTGTGTGTGTGTGTGTGGGTGCGTGTGGCCTCTGGCGTGAAGCCTTGGACTGACCAATCAGAGAGCAGAAGATGTTGGAAGTCCTGCCCAGGGCAAAGTTCTCCTTCTTTCATTCATTCATTTTGATCTGATTTACTAGTTGTTTCGCAGCACAAAAAAGTTGGAGTTGGACTCGAACCAGCGGCGTGTACTGTACACCACCACTGTGACCACCTTCGTGTACCTTCTTTCACTGTCCTCTGCTACATTTGCTACCACAGAGTCCCATCAGTCTGCAGTGTCTCTATATGTGTGTGGTGTCCTAAATTAAGTCTCACCTGCCAAAAGTCCTCGCGGTGCCCCCTACAGGCCGCAGTGAATATTACAGCCACAAGAACATACTGATGGCAGAGCTAATAGGTGCTTTTGACTTAATGCGGCGCTGCGCAGTGCTGACTTAACGTGATGCATGCTGGACTGGAGCAGAAATGTGTATATGTATTTTAAATAAAGGCTTTCTGTTTTTAATCATCGGATAATGATTTACCTGATTTAATAATTTGTTATCTGACTTTCTTAAAACTAGATAATCCAGGACTTGCCTTATGCCTGGTGCTGGATTTTCTGATCTTAACGGATTTTAAAAATGTGGGATACCACAGACATAACGACGGAATTAACTGTCGTTATGTCTGTGGTATCCCACATTTTAATGTTATTTACACATTTTAATTTTAATCTTAATAACGCACATAGAAGGCGATTCAGTCCAGACGCAGGACCACACACTCTGCGTTTATATTAAACTAAACACTTCATCAAACGTGACTTCAGACTAGTGTCCAGTGTAACATTTTTCCTGCCGTGTCTGGCTTTTTCACCCGGTGCTGAGTCAGCTAATAGGACTGC